TTGCTATTATTTTTTTTTTTTTTTAAGAAAAAATGCATTCACAATTTGGAGTTTTATTGTTCCTGATATCATTGTTGTTAGGTGTTATTATAATGTGCTGAAGTATTTGTATCGATATCTCAACTGAAATGATTTGCTGCCAGTTTAAGAGCCTGATGCTACAATCTTGTATTACTGGGCTTCAGATCTGCAATATGTTCACGAACAAAACATATTGCCACATGCACATGAAGCATAAAGGTATATATATAGACAGAGGTGTGGCACACGTCATTGAAGTATTGCTGTGAATATTGTGTTTAAGATTTCCTTCCTGAATCCCTGATCGCATCCACCCTTCCCTTTTGAAAAGATTTTGAATTGAGAGTACTATTCCATTCTTGGTCTCGTCCAAACAAATCTAGAAGATTTAATGGAAATTTCCCCCCCTTTTTCTTTTACACAAAACTTTTACTATTTTTCTGGGTAAGACGTGATGATTAGTGCGGTTTCCCATGCAGATAGCTCAAATCTATATTGACATTTTGTTTTGACTTTTTTTTAAATAGTCCTGGCTGACCTTGCTTCCAAAGGTGAATATGAAAAACAATAGCAGGGGAGCGAATGCTGAGCGTATTTAAAGCACAATCATGGGAAATGCTGATGACCTCTCGTTGCCGCTGAGTCCTTTTCCTTTCCTTGGCAAGGCCTCTGGCTTGTCCCCACCACTGCGCCACTGGCCCTGGTTCCGTGGGCCTCTTCAACAAGGCAACAGTTAGCAATATTAAAAGCACATATGTTCTAGTGGTAACATTTTAAGGGTACAATGAAATCTCATCACAACAGGACTAAAATAAACTTTTTTAGTGCATGCAGAATTTGCTGCTTGTGACAGAGACATGCTGATTTTTAACAGCAGACTTTTCTCAGTAGCATTCTCCAGTTTAATTTCTAATGAATGCTTGGTTAAGTACTACTAATGCTTAATTTGAATAAAATCATTGCTGATTGTATACTTGGATTTTTCCTCTTCATATTTTCGGGAAACAGGAGATTAGGTTCACGGAGTCTGCTATATATTGGCTTCTATACAATAATAAATCAGTTTTAATTTTAATAACTGAATTTTGTACTGACCTGAGTTAAAGTGAAAGTGTTTTCCAAAGTAACATGATGTAGCACAGCCATGATTTAAATTGAGAAGCTGAATATAAGTCCCTTTAGTGTTCTTGTTTCTGTATATTCTGCTATGCCATACTCTATAGAGTGTTTCTTTAGAAGGTTAAACATGTACTTTTAACTGTTACAACTTTGCCATAATACACAGACTGCAGACAGAGATGGAGAAAAATAAAGTACTTCCCTGGTAGCTTTGCATTTTCAGCAGTCAGTGCTTGGCCCCGTGCAGGTTGCAGTTGCAGATTTGCACAGGTGAAGCACAGGCAAGGCAAATCGCGTTAATGGACAGAGAGAAGGCAGGGGATTTCATAAAGCGCTTGTGAGAGCAATGTCGTTTTGCCTAGAAAGTAATGCATCACTGGGGACAGAAAAGGTGGGGAGGACGGTACTTTTAACCTGTGTTTCCTCATGGGCATAAATGCAATCTCCATTTTGCACTCTGAACATTTGCAAAGCAGCAAACTACAGATTTAGCCTCATATTACCTGTGCAGAGCTTTCGTTCAGCCTTCTAGGTGAGGCCAGTGTAAGTGTGGGGGTTTGTCGTATTAAATCGGCGCAGCGTGACCTCATTAAAGAAAAAAAGTCTCATTTGTGCAAGGGCCTCGTTGTGAGCACTGGCACTGCTGGGCTCTGGCTGTAGCGGCAGGGTGAATTCTCAGATCTGCACGTGTTGTACCGTAACTGGGGAATTAGGACCCAAAAGGCCCAAAGAAACACGCTGCGTGCAAAGGTAGGAGGAAACGCCTCTAGCTGGTTTTCACAAGTGGTGTTACAAACTAGGCAGCCTTACTGACTCCTGGTGTAGACAAATACAAATATTTTTCTGTACGCAACTTTGCAATTATAAAGAGAACCAAAATCTACTGGAATCAATTAGGTTTTGCTGACATTATGCAGCTGTTACGATTTAGCTATTTGTTTTTAATGAATTATTCTTTCTAGCCTTCTGGATTCTAATAAGCAGCTTTGCATTTTTGTAATGAACGCAGCATTTCAGAAGGAGCAGAGTAAATTTGATTTAAGCATAAAAACATGTTTCTTAACAAGACACTTAAAATGGAGGGGTTTTTGGTACTAGTGTTTCACTTCTGCAGGCAGCGTATTGATCCAAAGAGGAAACGCCTGGCAATCCCAGCGCAAGAGTCACAGGCACCTGCTCTGAACTCAAACAGATTTTTGGCAGGAATTATCTAACTGCTTACGGTAAGTGTGGTAGAAAACATTTTCTTATACAAATAATGAAGGTACTTGAAAATAGAAGACCGGATCATGACATGACATCACTGAAATTAAAGGAAGTTTTAAATGACCTGGAGAAGGTAACAGAAACTTGCTGTTAAATTAAGAAAATATGGGATGGTGGAAGATCAGCACAAAAAATCACAGACGGTGGGATGGGAATGGACCTGGGGAAGTCACGTAGCCCATCTCTCACTGACTGACTCTCCTGAGAATAAAGTTTATTGTTTATCACAGGAAAGGCCATGGTTTTGTCAGGCCAAAAGTTATAAAAACCTTAACTCATGATATAGCACCTGATTGTGGCCCACAGTTTGTGTGACTGGTGTGGGCTGCAAGTGTGTGTGTGCACGTTTGTAGACATATATATATGTATGTATCCGATACTGCAGCTATTAATGGTCAGGTCTGTAGGTAGCTGTATCTTTTTATATTCTTTCTTAGACACTGTATGATTATCCCTGCCAATACAATTCCTCCCTGTTTTGTTCATGAGGTTTGTGCTGTGAGGATTTAGTGTGACGATGTCCTTTTCTAAAAGCTCACTTTCAAGCATGGGGTCATCGGAGAGCTTGAGAAGGGAACGAAGTTTTAGATATGAAAGCAAAGGTACAATCTAACCTATTGAGATATTTATAATCCATCTTGAATATTAGCATATAATACAAAGGATTGTTTTCTCCCTTCAGTTATTTTTGCTGTGTTTCCATCTGCCAGCAAAGTAAAGAGGGAGCATGAGTTCAGGACAGTCTTGTTGAAGACCGTCTTGATGACATTTTAAGCAGTTCAAGTTTCCCCAATTGATCTGTCTAATTAAATAAAACCATAGAACTGAAAAAGACATTGGATATTTTTCCATTTTTCTGAAGTAGGCTGCGGTAGACTTTTCTCAGAGCAAAGCATGAAGCCAGCGTGTGTCCAGGGTCTGAAGCCGCTTGGCAGTTGTTCATCGGAAAAGGAATTGCAGACACTTACTCCTTGGTTTTGCCCTTGTTTTTTCTTACTTATCCCTTAGCTGAGAGGCGATGAGAACAACCAGCAGCCCCTCAGGTGGGAGTGCAGGAGCATCTGAGAAGCCCTAGGGGTGAGCTGCTCTTTGGGTGCTGGACTTTGATGACCCGGTGTTGGGCTCTGTGGCTTACCCTAAGACAACAGCATCAACAGTAAATTGTCACTTCAGGGCCAGCATGTAGCACTAACTCGGATGAACTGCAGGATTGCTGTGGCAGATATTAATAGTAAGCACACAGAATAAATCCCGAAGGAGGAGCATATCTTAGTTTAGCAATGCCTGGTTGCTAAATTGATTTGCCAAGTACCCAGCGTGCACATAAATGAGAAAAGCATTGCAACAGCACAGAGATATTCTTACAGATTCAACATACTGTGCTGTGTCAGCAAGGCCGTTTACTGCCGGATGCTGTTTCTTTTCTCACAGCACGTTGTAGGTCTAAAACATGGTTGTAGGCTTCAGCAAAGGGTCCCCCTCAGCCCCCAGGGAGCTAATTATGACATTTGGAGCCCGTTTATTTTTCTGTTGACTTCCTTGAAGACATGTGGTGCAAGCAGTGATTCATCCACCAGTTCTTCCCAGTCCCATGGGACCTGTGAAAGGGTTGTTTCAAATCACTGTGTTTCTTTTCCATTTCCTGGAAGCACTCGGTGTTTGGGGCAGGTTGCTGGGCTACACGCCACTGCTGGACACCTTCCACGGCCTCGCCAGGGCCAGGGCTGACTATTGAAACCTTATCTCCTGGGCGTAACGTCCCTGACTTTATCTCCTTGAAAACCCCAGCGCTTCACTGTTGTAGGAGAATTACCTTTCCTATGGGGGAAAGAGGGTGTGAGGCTGTCTATGGGAAATATTCCCAGGGGAATAAAGGCTAGGAATGTGCTGAGAGCTGCGTTGCTCTTTCAGGTGTCAGTATAAGAAATTTATAAAAAACCTTGTTCTTGCTTGTTGAGCAGAAAGTGCACTAAAATAGGAGCGAGGGCTAGGAAAAACTGGACTAGAAGCTGAAATAATGTTGGGACAGCTGGGGGTGGAGGCAGGAGGGTCCTTTATGGAAGATCCATATAAAGGTGAGGGATCTGGAGCACAAGGCTGATGAGGAGAGGCTGAGGGAACTGGGTGTGTTCAGCCTGGAGAAGAGGAGGCTGAGGGGAGACCTTATCGCTCCCTACAACTGCCTGGCAGGAGGGGGTACTGAGGTGGGTGTCAGTCTCTTCTCCCAGGCAATAGGACAAGAGGAAAGTGATAGGACAAGAGGAAATGGCCTCCAGTTGTGCCAGGGGAGATTTAGGTTGGATATTAGGAAAAAATTCTTCACTGAAAGGGTTATCAGGAGCTGTAACAGGCTGCCCAGGGAAGTGGTGAAGCCCCCATCCCTGGAGGTACTTGAAAGACAGGCAGACGAGGTGCTGAGGGACATGGTTTAGTGGTGGACAGGTACAGTTGGGCTCGATGATCTTAAAGGTCTTTTCCAACCAAATGATTCTATGAGTTACACTTGAGTGAAAGCTTATATTGAGGCGCTTTGTTTTGCTGTTATTTACATTTATGAAAAAGCAAAGTCTGGAAAGCGTGGAAGCCTAAACCCGGAGGCTGTGTTTTCTGCTAAGCTGTATGCTTAACGCCTCCGTTACAGACTCCTTCTCCCAGAGTTACTGGTACAATAAGTGCAGGGTTCCTTCCTTTGCTTTCTTTTTCTGTGGGGCAAAGCAATTTCAGCAGCTAGTAATGCTCACTTCACCCAGGTCCAGGCTGTACACAAGTGCTGCGTGTTGTGCGCATCTTGTCTGGAGCATCGCTGCTGCCCAGGGGTCAGTTACTCCATCCCACCTCTCACCCTGGGGATTTTTGATGCCACGGCTCTGCCTGGGCTAATGTGTTTTTTAGTAATTGCCAAATTACCAATCTGGTAGTGGTAATAACCACCAACGTCATTTTATTTTGGGCCAGTTCTTCATGAGGCATACAGCAGATAGGGATCTTGGGGTGCTGGAAATGTTTTTCACTTTGTCAGACAAAATATTTTGGCATGTGTAATATTTTTAATAACCATAACGGCTCTGAGCGTACTAATATACCGAGAAGAATTTGATCAATGCTCAGCAAGAAAAGCAGAGCTGGGCATAGTAACAGGCAGCCTTTAAAGGAAGAGAAAACTTGCAAATGTAGATTTTAGGCAAAAATTTATACAAGGATGAGGAATTCTGATTAGTTTGCAGTGCGACTTTGGTACATGTGAACTCACTTTGGAAAATGAGATTATTGACTCCTAAGTGGTGCAGATTTTGAACACCTGACAGCATGAATAGTTGTGACATTTGTTCACTAAATCATGTAAGTCTAAACACTAAACCATCTAAATCTTGGTCAGCATACAGGTCTATATCCTCAGTCACACTGAGGTGCCTTTCAGGATCCAGGACTAAATTATTGGAGAAAAATGCAATCCTTGGGAAGTATATACACACTACTGGGGGCTGAGACATGACCAAAGACAGTGCCACTTTTTATGAAATGTAATGACATTAAAAATGCCATTGCAAAATTTTCCCTTTTTATTTTTTTTAAAACCCCTGTATGATCCTGGCTGCTTTGTGAGGTTAGCCCTGTGCCTGCGGCTTGGCCGCGAGAGGAGAGGGAAGCATGGAGGCTTTGTGCTTGCCGGTACCACCCCCCTTCCCCAGCATGCACCGGAGCAGGGTTTAGAGGCGAGAGTGCCTTGTTCTACCCATCTCACCTCCAGTGAATCTACTGGCTCTCTAATTCCCTGGAATAATCAGATTTTAAGAAGTTATAAAAGCACTAATTGTTTGTTTCTTCTCTTTTTGTAGTGATGCAAACACTCCCATGCAGCACAGAAAAGCCATCCAAAATAACACAGTTGTTACCAGTGCTTGGAAAGACTCCGAGGGACGCATTCCCCAAAGAAATTAAGAGTCAGTTCTTGTTCCCCAGCGGGTTATATGTAAATTGGATAGCAGGGCATTTAACTGGAGATCTTGGAGCCTAAGTCTGCCCCAAAGCACTTATTGTTTAGAGCGTAACTATAAGCTGGAAGAAGTGTGATTTTATACAGTTTGCCAAGGGAAGCAAACACTCCAGATCTTGTGCGGGGGCCAGGATGGGATGTTATTACTTGGCGTCATTCTCAAAAGCAGGATTTTTATCTGTTCCCTTTCCTGAGTTCAGTTTTCTCTTTCCATTTTACATTCCCTGTAATTTTACAAAGCAGTATGCTTGGCATTTGTTGTTAGATGTTAGATATTCAAAATAGAACTGTCACAGAAGTTCACTGCCTTGTATTTTATTTGAATGCTTTGTGGTTGCAGATCTCATTGTAGATACATGAACCGACTGCTCAAGTTTCCAGAAAAAAAAATTGCATTTGCTTTCCAGATAAAAGAAAAGAAGAAAACTTCGTCTTTTTTTTTCTCTTCAATTTCTTCAAAACTAAGACTTCACCTAATGGTTACCATGCAGACCCTGGGCTAGATCCATGTGAGCAAAGCACTGGGCGTGCAAGGGAGCTCTCTGAACAGAGAGCTGGTGTTTGCCTCAGCTCTCTGCAGGGTGCAGAGCGTACAGGCGGGGTGGGAAAGGAAGCTGAAGCTGTTACTTACTCATGGCAGCATGCGGTCATTTAGACATGGGCACCTGCAACAGAAGGAATCCCAGCAGCTCGGGTGAAGCCAGTACAAGCCCTTCCCAAGCCATCCCTCCTAGGCTGATGGAGAGCACTAGGGATGTTCAAGGGACAAAGAGGAGTGCTCAGAAGTATCCCATACAGGCAACTGCATGGCGTAAGCTCTTCTCTGAAGGTTGGCTTTCTTTTCAGTCTTGGGCTCTGCTTAAAAAAAAGCAAACAACTTGTTATAGCTTGGGATGGTACCTGCACAGCTGCATGGTGCGTAATCAAAACGGAGTCCACAAGAGATGCCCAAAGCCAGGCCAGCGTAGGGTGATTTTCCTTATTCATCCAAGAGAGATCGTGGTTTATATGTCCATTTATGGTAATTTAAATATTAACGTTATTGGGAATCTCATTCCTGATGGAAGCAGGAAGAGGTAAGGTCACAGCCTTCCCATGTCACTGGGATTGGTTTCTTGTTGTGTTCCCCTACCGCTTGTCTGTATTTTAGTATTTGCCAAACGGAAGAAGTTAATTTATCAATTAAATATATAAATATATAAATAAAACAAGTTGTAAGTGAAAGGTTATACAAGCATAGCATAATTCCCAATAAGAACCATCTCAGAACTTTTGCTTCACCCATTTGCTTACGCTCAAATAACGTTATTTTCAAAGAAGTCTTTGTTCTTTCTTTTTTTCCTTTCCGAAAGGAACCACCCAGCGCTCGGGAGCAAACGTGCTCTGCTGTGCGTAGCTCTGACTCAGGTTGCAAACAGGTGACATGCACAGCACGATTTTTCCTACCTGCACGAGTCAAGGGAGGACACCTTGCTTGGCAGCGGGGTCAGGGACATGTGCCCTCTCTGCTCAGCCCCAGCCCTGGATGGTGCCTGGGCAATTCCCCGGCGCTGGGTCCCGGGCAGCTCCCAAGCTCTGGCTGGGCAGGAGGGAGGGAGAGACCGCATCCTTCTGCCAGCTGGCGTGCAGGACCCTCGGGGCTGTCACGTTTGCTTCTCCAGGCACTCATGCAGATGAACTCATGTCTCCAGCGTAAAGCAAGAGTACTTAAAAACTTCAGACAGAAATATATGCAATATACACATTTTACATACCATCTATGGACATATGCATAACAATATATGCTATATATACAAAGCATACAGCATATACAATGAAAGGATGCATGCATGTCACAAAATCATCCTCTCCACCTGTCCCTATGCTGTAGAAAGAAGGCGAGTCCTGTAGGTCTCATTAGAAACAAAGTGTCTTAGCATAAGGTAAAATTTTCCACTCTAACAAAGCCAGAATAACCTTTAATGGAAACCCTGGCCTATGCATAATGTTAGCTTTAACACGCATTTACTCAGTATTGATTACCTCCATGTATAGCAATAACGATATGCCTATACTGCTAGGAAACGTTAGTGTAGTATTTCAGTTAGCCACCCATATAACTTGTATTTATTCACTTGTCATTTATGTGGAAGAACATGAATCTACTTGATTTTTTTCCTAATGCTGTGAATAATATTTATGAAGTTGTTTGTACTTCAAAACCACAAGGTGGTGAACTTTGAGAACTGTAATCTCTAAGGAATGAAAATGTGAAATTAAGTGTTGAGCAAGATGCTTCTAAGGAAACGATATATTCTCTGAATTATTTTACAAGTGATTTTCTTGCTGTGCAGAATAATTTTTCATTCACTCTTGGAAGGAAAGTAAAAAAGAAAACTGTGCATTTCATCCCCCTCTCCAGCCCCTTACTTTAACAAATGCTTAGGCTGAATATCTTGTCCTCATTTTGGTTTTGATTATCAGCTTGGGAAATTTTTTCCTTCCCTCTCCAGGTAGATAAACTGCTAGTTTCCAGTTCTTTGCCAGTGAGGAAAGAATTATGCTTCCCCGCCCCCCCTCTTTTTTTTTCTTCTAAATGAGAGCTTTTTGTGATTTTTTTTTTTCCACCCCATGGTATCAGTTTCTTGGGGTTATGAAACAGTGCAAAGCCTCATACTCTCAGAGATAAAGCTGGATATGTGTTGATGACTCAGAATTATTGGAATGATACTGATTTTGCATTTCTTGATTTTCTTTTGAAAGGTCTCAATCCAGGCAGATTATCCAGAGATTAAGACAACCATGTCATCTACAGGTATAGAATATTTTTTAAGAAACTAATAGGTGGAACTCCATCACGATTGCCTTCATTATTTGCTGCTCTTTATGGACAATCATGCAAGATCACTGAATTTTGAGACTTCCCGTAGCAGATGAAATATCTACTTACGTTGTGCCACCTGCTAAAAGTGTTGCAGCTACAATAAGAATCCATGTAAATGCTGGAGCAATGGAGCAGAGGGGAAGTAACTGTAAATCAGGAAATTAAAAATTGATGGCATGGGTGTCTCCTGGAATAACAATTGCTGGATAAGAGTGGGGCAACAGTTATCAGGGTGTTGTCAGGGAGGAGCTCGTACTCTGCAGCAGGTTGTACCTAGAAAAACAGGACCTCAAGTAGAAGGTTGCACAGAGAAAGGGACCTTTCAAACAAACACAGGTACAGATCAAACGTGGAAAGCAGTTCCTCAGAGCCAGGCCCTAGGAGAAATGGTGAGAAGCGAATTGCACACAGGTGAGAGGATTCATTTCCAAGGAAAGGGAAGCGAGTGACCAGGTGTATCAGCAAAGGGGATTAACCACAAGGTTCAGGAAACAACGGTGCCACTGAATAAAAGCTGTTTGCTTGGAAAGTCCTGCTCAACCCGGGGCTGCAGCCTAGAGAGAGAAGCAAAAGATAAACAACCCACCTTACCCATGTCTTGGAACCTCTCCAGGGAAGTTCAATAACTTGAGGGCAGAGGAAATGCCTGATGAGGAACTGCTTGATGTGCATAAAATACTCAGCCTTGGGGAGAGAGAGAAAGGCGTTTGACAGGAGATCTGCTTTTGGAATACAAGTAACTGAAGGAGATAAATAGAGAGCTAGGTGGGGACGCCACGAGGCTTTACACTGCACTGAGGAGAGGTTCTTGCTGGATCCTTAGAAGGTGTGACAGCCTGCTCGCCAAACTACTGGGTGGTAGTAATAGACATCAATTTAAGAGCAGAACGATATCTGTGCGGTGAACTATGCACGTTATGTATTTACAGGGTTATGAAGGGTAGACTGCAAGGCCTGCAATGGAATCAGTGGGAAACGATTCCTTTCTCCCATCCGTTTCTGTGTTTCTATATGCTTTCATTCCAAAAGAATGAAAAGCCTGGCCCTGGTGACAAAGAGCGCCTTTGCACCGCTTTCACTTGGTCTTCAGCCAGAGGGAGGGAGACAAAGCCCTTGTCAAGGGTGTGAACTTCCTTCATTCCCAGGGCCACCAGGCCAGCGTGTCACCCCAACTGTTGAGCATTTTATTCAAAATCAAAGCTTCCTTCCGAAATTGCTGGGCTTAGTTCTAAAATACTTTATGCCCATCCCGCTGAAAGAAATAGTACAGTTTTTAAAAAGTTTAAATGTTACGAGAATGCATCTTTCCAATGACGAGCTATCCAGTAAATGCTTTGGTTCGGTGTCTCTCAGGCATCTGTAGCTGTTCGGTGTTTCAACCAAGTAACCTGGGGATTTTTAAAACTTAGCACTGTTAACATGCAGTGATGCTGTGGTGAGAGACAGGGATATGTGTATGCTGAGGAAAACGTTTGCAGGCATAAAGGGAAAATTGCATATTGAGCGAAGCAGAAGTGTTATCTAATAATTCAACTATAGTTCCAAAAGTTCTGAATTCCCTCCTCTCCCACCTCTGGACACTTTATTATTTGGTTCTAGACTCATACGTGTATGCTAAGCAGCCTCTGATACACTTTTTTTTCCTTGGAAAGCTTGTTAGATGTAATAGCTGTTTCCAAAGTGAAAACCACTTTGAACTTCTCCAGGTTACACTCAGGAAAGCAACAAGATGAGAGAGCTGGATTAAGCTCTGGAGTACAGATGCTGTGCCCTTCTGCAGGGTGCTTGAAATGACACAGCTCTGCTCACTCCTCTTTCAGCCAGGATGCGCAGAGAAAGCTGGAAGCGATCTCTCAGAGCAGTGCAATAAAGCAACCAGACCTAGCAGCTGGGAAATGGGCTGGCTTCAAAATTACACCTGTGCAGATGAGCCTGTGAAAAACAGTAGAAAACGTATGCTGAAATGGTGATTTCTGAGGAAAGGCGATAGATTCAGAGGCCTTTCATAGCAAGACATTACTATGTACGTGTGCTGTGGCCACCACACTTAGGGTCACACCATGCTGCAATGCTTTGGCCTGTGTGTCCTCCCTGGAAGCTGGGCACCAGCACCTACCTGTGCTTCTGCCTGCCCCTGGGGCTCAGGCAGTGAGACAGCCCCATGGTCTGTGCCCCTCATTTTCGTCTGCGCTGGTATATTAACGCCTGTGGCAGCGCAGGCACCAAGCACCCACCTTTTTATGAAGGGTCAGTGTTGGCGACAGGAGCAAAGGGGTCCCCTGGGCTCAAAAGCGGCCAGCTAGGGCCAAGGGGTCCAAAAAGGAAATGACGCATGAAGGTTTAGAGGTCTCCTGAATCTCATTATTTCAAATGATAGCCTGTTCACAGGAAGTTAAATAAAAGTTAATTAGCAGGTATTTCAGCAGTCTGCTCTGATTCTTTTTTTTTTACATCCTGCTAGGTCAAAGTACCCAGGTAGTATTAATTAAAAAAGCCTGCTGAAAGTACTGGCGTGGATGAGAGGCTACACAATCATGCTCTTGAGCTCTCAGTGCAGGTATTTTTTCGTACATTACCTGAGCAGATTTGGGTATTAGAGTTATAGCCTGGTACCCATTTAGTTAGGGAATAGTGAGGGGCTTTAAGTAATTTTGAGAAATATGAAGAGCGCTCAAAAGCGGCCAGCTAGGGCCAAGGGGTCCAAAAAGGAAATGACGCATGAAGGTTTAGAGGTCTCCTGAATCTCATTATTTCAAATGATAGCCTGTTCACAGGAAGTTAAATAAAAGTTAATTAGCAGGTATTTCAGCAGTCTGCTCTGATTCTTTTTAGGTAGTATTAATTAAAAAAGCCTGCTGAAAGTACTGGCGTGGATGAGAGGCTACACAATCATGCTCTTGAGCTCTCAGTGCAGGTATTTTTTCGTACATTACCTGAGCAGATTTGGGTATTAGAGTTATAGCCTGGTACCCATTTGGTTAGGGAATAGCGAGGGGCTTTAAGTAATTTTGAGAAATATGAAGAGCAATCTTCCTTGATGAGCGTACTTACAAAAAGAGCAATAAACCCAAGCTCAGTGCTATGGGCTGTTGTCTGACTCAGCTGAGCCTCTTCAGCTGAGAGGGGAGGAGGTGTTTGCTTTGGCAGAGCATCCTTTTGAATCTCAGGAGGTTCCTTAGGCCAAGATCTTTGGTCTCAGATAGATTTATAGTGCAAAAATGCTTTCTCAGCCTTTTTTTTTCAGTTGTTTACAGAAATTAGACATGTCTTAAGGAGATTGTACGTAAGTCCAATAATATTTGCGTGAGACAGGAAGAGTACAGGACACGGGGATCTTTGTAATAACACGTTTCTTTTTACCACATGAAGTGATTCAAAAAATGTTTGCATGTCTATGTATGACAGATCTTTCATAATAGTTGTTGCATGTTGGAGGCAAAGCACAAGATTTTTCTTTCAGAGGATGGTTAATAGTCTAATGACAGTGAAGCAAACTTAATCATCTTAAATGTGATTCCTACTTCTTTGCAATGTTGTCATATTTTGAAGCATCTTCACTGAAGACAGAAATAACTTAGAAGAACTGAACTCTGAAAGCTAATCGTTGCTTCACGTGAGTATTTACTAGCCAGAGTGTTCAGTGGACTTGATTGATCTGGGCAATGCAAAAAGGTGAGGCCACAAGCACAAGAATTTTATAGCACCT